TATATATATATATATATATATATATATATATATATATATATATATATATATATATATATATATATATATATATATATATATATATATATATATATACATATATATATATATATACATATATATATTTGTATATATAATATATATTTTTATATATTTGTACATTACACATTTAAATTGCCAACACTGGGAGTTTACAAAAAAAAAAAAAAAGGTTAAACTTTGTTTTTTTTTTATTTTATTATCTATTTATGATTTTTTTCTCTTTTTTTTTAAAGTATTATTTTTCTCTGTCTACGTTAAAACATTTAACAGCATCTTTTTGTACAGTTGCATTGATTTTCTTCTGCTTATTTTTAAAAAAGACATTATAATTTTAGAACCAAATTTAAACCCGCATACTCAGTGTAAATCACAAGTAAAGCAAACTGTTGGAAAGTATTTTGATAAAACAAAGCTTAATACATCTTTGACATTAGCACCTTGTTTAGCTATTAAATTTGAAAGATTATCTAAGACTGCAAAACATCCACATGTGAAATCCTTAAGTCAAAGTGAAGGCACAGTAAGACCATCTTGTTAAAGTACTTGTAGGTATAGGCAAATATTTATATTGCTTACATCTGTAGCAAGCATAGACTTGCAATCGCTACATTTGCTTCTTTTTATCAATTTCTTTGCTATATAACCAGCAATTGTTGTTGCAACTTCTTCTGTTTCAGATGATAGAGCTAATTCTGATATCTCATTTGAGTTTAAATCTAATGTTATAAATAATTTATCATTAATTGGGTTATCATAATTTTTATTTAAATCTTCATCCCAAAAATTTAAAATCTCCTTAATTAAAGCTCGACATGCTGAAATAATCTCTGAATGTTGAACTTCTAGTTAACTTACTAGAAATCTCCCACCACTGTCATCTGTCACCACTCATCTGTTCATATTGAGAAAATCTACGCTCTATAAGGTCACTTTGAAGTCGTGAAGTAAGCACATACAAATATCCCTTTTCGATAAGCTCGTCTATAAGCTTTACTTGAGAATGAAAAATTGTGATAAGAGCAGATGATGTTTGTTTTGATAAGGTAAAAGATGGAGATTTCTGCCCAAGTTCATTCCAATCACCTAATTCCCTAAATAATATGGTTTTACCAACATCAAAAATAATTGCATTAACAAGTTTATTAGGACTAAAATGTTATTTTAAATTTGAAACAGCCCACCATTTTTGAAAAATACTCAAAAAATCAGAAATGTCATTTTGTTCAGGAAAATAACTTTAAAAACTTGCAATTGTTGTATCATCAAAAATCGATTGTGCAAGAAAAACATTTTGCTTTTTATTACCAGGGTGAAGACTTTGATATGTAGGAGTACATGTAGGATATTTTAGGAGCTTTTTTCAAATTACCTTGAAGTTGTTCATCTTTAGAATGTAGAAGATAAAAATCTCTCCAAGTTATATAACCAGCTGGACAATTATAGACATCTTTTATATTATAAGTAAATGATGGAAAGACAAATTTTTTGCAGTGTAATAAATTATTTCTGATATTTTTAACAATGTAAACACTATCATAAAATAAGTATATTTTAATATTTGGACAATATAAGATGATAAATAAATAAATTTGACCAATTTACCAATTTCGAATGAAGTAAACTAAATGCATTACATTTGCTTGATGATTGTCAGTAACAACTCCTCGAATTTTAAAACCAGATAAAGAAAGAGAACTAAAAGAATCTAATATTTGCTCTGAAAGTCATTTACCACTAATGGTAACTTCGGGTACTGCTTTTATGACATAGGAAATAGATTTCTTTGAACTAACAATCATAAATGCAACAACTCCTTTGTACAGATTACCATTGTCATCTGTACCTACATAGACACCACTACAATATTGTGCCTATTTCTGAAGATAAAATTCATCTACAATTAGTATTATATCTTCATGTATTGAACCCTTCTTGCAAAGTGTTTAAGGTGGAATTAATACAATAAAGGCTGTTAGCCTTTATTGCATTAATTCCACCTTGTTTTATTTTATTTAATAAAGAAATTGAAGGTAATGAAAACGATTCAAGTAAAATTTCATGTGCTTGTTTAGATGTATATCTTAATAATAAAGCATGTCTGATCATATCTGCAGAATATTGTGATTGACCTTTTGCTTTATAGTATATTCTACTATTTATTTCCTCAAGTAGTATATTTCTATTAGAAGAAGCTATGTTTTTTATGTACGATGCAAGATTTTCTAGCATACTCAAACTAGTTAACTTGCCATTATAACCTTTAGTTAACCATGGAGGAAGTGGAACATTATTTGGTTTGTATTGCAAAGCTACACATAAACAATGATCAAATTTTATTGATTCAAGAACAGAAGGAAAATGCGTTAAAGGATCAAATATTAAATTTTAATGAATAACACAATTGAGATGTTTTTTAAATTGAAAACCTTTTGGTGAATGCTTACTGTTTAACCTGTTCCATTTAGTTATTTTATCATTTTCAGAAAAAAAGCTAAGTCCATCTTCATCATACCAGTTTTGAGTAGTCTTCTTAAAGCAATAGGTAATGGTAGTGTGGAAGGCCGTTTTAAGCATTCGCTTGAGAAAATTTCAGGAATAGAGTTTAAATTCCAATATAACTTGCTTATTATACCTGGAATAATGTACTTTTCATTAAAATACTTTTCACATTAGACAGAATTTGGTGAAGGCACCCAATCACTACAATTTACAAAACGAACCCAATAATTTAGCAACTGTTGGTTATTCAACGGAAAATGAAAAGAAGCAACTTTTATATCTTCCAAAGAACTGTTGTATCCAGTTTTACAACCATATGCAACACACTTGTTAAGCATAATATTCAGCTTTGCTAATACTAATAACTTGTCTAAAATAACATTTTTGATATATATATATATATATGTATGTATATATATATATATATATATATATATATATATATATATATATATATATATATATATATATATATATATATATATATATATATATATATATATATATATATATATATATATATATATATTCTTAGAATCGGCCTTTAAAATGTAAAATACATCGCCGTGTAATATAGTAGGCCATGGTATGTAAACATAATCGGCAGCTGTTATTTTGACGTAATCAACTTTTGATTTGATAAAACGGAGATTGCATGTTTTCATTTTAATTTATAAACAGCGTTAAGGAAATAGAACAGGTATAGTATATTAATTTCATTTTTTAAACTGATTTATTTAAAATGAAAAAAATTGACCTAACTCAATTTTTTTGATTTGTGGAAATAGAACTAATAAAATAATTCTAACCTCGCGAAAATTTGTCGAAAAGCCTTGATTTTTGTTTTTTTTTTGAGTCTTTAGAGTTTGAAGATATATTGTAGCGTTATTTAGTTTTTGTTACCGGTGTAAATGGATTTTTGCCCATTTTTATGAGGTTTTTGTTATCATGGCAGCTAAAAGAAATTTAGTAAACCTTTTTAATGATTATGCCTATTCACATTATATTATTGTTTTATATTATTATTATTATTATTATAAATAATCTACAATAGAAGTAGTTAGTTTTTATGAACTGAACATCTAACGATGCCCCGCAATAGTAGACTTTATTCTAGTGGAGAAACAAAATTTTCTCTTTAATTTGTTGACAGAATGTGAGAAAACAACAGAAGACTATATATTTGATTTATTTTTAAATGTTGAATTTGGCTAGTTATAGAAGTTTTAGCCAGGTTTCAGCATGAGTGGAATTATTTTTATTAAAGATCGTTCTTTGCGGCATATAAATTATAACTGTTTAGTCATATTGTAAATTGTGAGCAAAGTTAATGAATGTAGGCTGATTATCTTTTGAAATTCAGACAATAGATAAAAAAAAAGTCTTGGCTTAAAAACATTTTATCAAAAAATATGAATATATTTTAAAAATAAATATTGTAATTAAAATTTACACAAAAAACAACAATAAAAAGAACCAAAATTATAAACTAATTTTAAATAAATTAGACTTACTATTCCTCCTATCTCGTGCTAAAAAGTAAACTATAATCTAAAAATAGATATAAAAAAGCACACACACAAATTATAAGGCATTTTGAAATTTTTGTTTGTTTGATTTGTATAATTGGTGGCCACCGAAACATTGTCTTCAAAAACAAATCTGGTGAACGGCTTTATTTAAGAGGTGGAAGCCCGAACAACTTTATATTATAATATTTTTAGGTGTCCGTTTCTGCACAAGGAAAGCGAGGCAAAGATATTTCCGCTGTTTATCAACTCTGGAACATTCATCATATTGTTTTTCAAAAAAATAAACAGTTGTCTTAATAAATTACTAAAATAAAAATAGCGAAAGAAGTACATTCAAGTACCTTTTTAGCACAAAATTAACAATAAAATAGGAATAGAAAAATGACTTTAAATACTTCTTATGATTTTCAATACCACAGTTCTTAAGAAATTTTAGAAAAAAAGACTGGTTTTAATTCAACTAAATAACAGTATGTAACGATGTAACAGTTTGAATTGTGTATGCAACAGAAATGTGCTGAAGAGGCTTATTGCTTCACCAATGCCATCAATCAAAATTCTTCGATGAGACAAATGCTCATTCGCCCTTTTTCGTGAATTTCAAATTCGTGAATAACCTCAAGATCAAACCTGCGTTCTAAAGATCAAACCCTACCGCGTTCAAACCGCGTTCTAAAAAATCACTTAACACAGTAAAAAGAGAAACATCGTGTAGATTTAAGATTTAGAGTTAAGGTGCTTTAAGTGTCATATATCAAAAAAAAAGGTTCTTCACTTTGAATTATTTTTTTTATTCTTTTTAAAATTTTCTTTTCCTCTTTGAAATAGTAACTTTTTAAAAAAAAATCTATGTATTTTTGCGTTCCCGCGGTAAATTATAAATTTAAAGAATTTAACAAAATTAGAAAATTCGTAAATAAACTCAAATAAAAGTATATAAAAAGTGTATTAAACTTAAAAAAATCAGTAAATAAATATAAGAGCACAAAACAATTTCAACTTGTTTTTCTCAACTAATAGACTTCTATGTAGATCAATAACCATAGCATCGATACCAACGACACCTACGAATTAATTATTAACACCCTTCTTTGATTGACATGTTAAGTTTGATCAGCAGTGTTCTTTGTACACGCAACTTGATTTATTTTTCCCTTAAAAAAAAAAGTCATTAAAATAGATTTAACTATACTCGTAACTTTTTTCTCTCTACATATATATATATATATATATATATATATATATATATATATATATATATATATATATATATATATATATATATATATATATATATATATATATATATATATATATATATATATATATATATATATATATATATATATATGTATATATATATATATATATATATATATTTAATATATATATATATATATATATACATATATATATATACATATATATATACATATATATATATATATATATATATATATATATATATATATATATATATATATATATATATATATATATATATATATATATATATATATATATACATATATATATATACATATATATATACATATATATATACATATATACATATATATATATATATATATATATATATATATATATATATATATATATATATATATATATATATATATATATATATATATATATATATATATATATATATATATATATATATATATATATATATATATATATATTTATATATATATATTTATATATATATGTATACACATATATATAAATTCCAGGGATTATTTCATCATTTATTGAAAATCCGTAATATTTTTTCCTAATAATAGTTGGAAATACACGGAAATAAAAAATGCATTTTGTGTAAACATAGAAGTATATCTCCATGCGCGAAAGCACGCTAGCAATACACATTTTATGAAGGAGTCAAGTTATTTTTCGAACAGAAGATGTTTTTTTAAACTGAGATACTTATTTTGAAGTTTAAACTTTTTAAATTTAACTACTATCATTCTCGATTTAATTTTATTAAGTAGCTATTTAATGTCGTAAAAAGTTGCTCAAATGGAAGTTATAGACTTATGAAATGGAAATTTGAAATATGCACAGAACATAAATATAAAAAATAGGAAATTGGATGTAATTGTGTATCATCTTTTCTGATATTTCCTTTTCCTACTATAATTTTTTTTTTTTCTTCTCAACGTAAAATTTGAATACAACTTGTTAACCGCCTAAAAAGCGCTCCTGGAACAACTGATTTTTTTTCTGTCCAAAGTAAGATGTACGAGTTTGCTTCAATCATTTTAAAGATAAAGATCCTTCATTAAAAAATCTTTTTCCCATTAAAAAACTCAGATACGATTCTAGACATAAAGTTGCTCTTTTGTGTCTCTAAATAGAAATAGTATAATAAATACTGACACCACGCGTCTTTACTTAAAAAATTTAAACTAAACGTAAACTCCACTACATACTTTAATACCATACTTTGTTGATCAAAATTGAGACAATTTTTCTGTTAAACAGCCATGTTCTAGTTCCTCATTACTAAGTGTCAACTTCAGTCCAAAAAAAAACATTGAATTAATGATTGAACCAGTAGTGGATAAAAATTAAAATTATATTAAGCCACTTTCTGATCTTAACGAGTTCTCTCAAGCTCAAGATTCAATTTTGAAAAAAAAAAAAAAAACCTGGAAAAAACTATTGACAAATTACAATAATTAAATCGATCTTCTTTTTCAAAATAGAAACTTACAAACTCATTAAATCTTGTATAAGAGGCATGTCATAATATTTTGAATCATTTGTTTACTTTCCAGATCTAAACTTGAAGATGAAGATATTATAAAGCGTGGTAATGCGATAACACACCTTGTTTCAGATGGCTTATATATATGAATAAAGAATGTGGAGTCTTAAAAGGACCCCAGCTTTTTTTTTCCCTGGAATCTAGAGTTCTGAAGCTTTAAAAATGTTGGGTGACTTATGTTCTGCAATAAGAAAAAAATTTATGAGATTTAATGACAAAGAACTTATTGTTTTTAAACCTAGAGTCGTGAAGTCCTTGCCGCCATTATACATTAGTACTCAGAGCTCAAAAATCAATTGTTCCTCTAATCTCAAAGTGTTAAATTTTTTTCTCAATAGTAGTCCATAAGATTCTAACATTTTTAAGCTCTTGGGTACCAAAAAAGAAATAATCTTTTTGTAATGTTAAAACCTGGAATCCTTTTTGGGACTTTGCATCCCTGATAAAAATTGTTTAAAAATATAAATACATAAAGAGCTCAAATATAAATTAAAACGAAACTAAAAACAGTAAAAACAATCAAATATATTTTAATGAGAAAAGAAAATATAGAAATTAACATATACAATAAACAAACTGTATTTAATTTAATTTTTTTTATTTAAATTTAACTTAATATTTAACTTAATTTTAAAACTTTTTTTAAGATGATTTTTACAAAATTAGTTAACATTAAAACTAATTTAAATCAACACATTTAACTTTATAGACAGTACACACACATAAATGTCATAAAAAAAATTACAATTATTTCATGAAAAAAAAAAGAAAAAAAATATATATTATGAAAATTTACAATTGCTTCAATTTAAAAAAATATATATATATTTATAATAATACAATCTTAGCTAAAGATATAAGTCAGTATAAAATAAAACAAAATTTTAAAAAAGATAAATTTTGCAAATGCAATTATAACAATACCATTTTTTGATATGTTTTTTTTTGAACACCTCAAGACTTTTTGCAGACATGGTCTCATTACTTAGAGTGTTCCAGGGCAAGGTGGCTCTATGTAACGTACAGCATGAATCATTATACATTGAGCCTTTAGGAGGTAGAATGAGTTTTTTGCTACAACGGAGTTTATTCGTAAGGTTTTTTATAGTAAAAAGATTTTTCATAAATATTGGATTTAGACAATTTATAGATTTAAAATTTTCCATCATAAGAAATCTCAAATTTCTTAGATGGATTCTTGATCTATTATCAAAATTTAATAATTCATCCAGAGACAAATCAAATCTTTTATAGACTATACTTAAAGCTTTTTTATGAATTCTATTTATTTATTTTTCATCTTTATTTGAACAAAACATCCAAATTAAAGGACAATAAGAAACTGTTTAATGTGTTCCCCAAACTTTAGATCTTTATCAATTGTTATACCAAATAGTTTTACTTTATCAGAGGCAAAAAAACCTTATAATACCTACTTTTAGTGATAGATTTTTTGTGTTATTTAAGCCAACTAAAAGAAATTAGAACTTATCTGGGTTAGCAACCATCGAGTTTAACTGAAATCAATTGATTGTATTGGTTGCTTCTTTTTGCAAACAAAAAAGATAACAAGAAATTAAAACTTTCTTTCAAAAAACCATAGGTGACTACTTTAGCAATTATTAAGTCATGCGGTATATAGTCGCATGCTTTTGAGAGGTCTATTAATATTGATCTAACAACACCTCCATTAATACAATCATGCCACTTATTAAGTAACAAAAAAAGGGCATGTTGAGTACTATAACCTCTTTGGAAACCATACAAAAGTTTATCAAATCTAGGCTCAATAAATATCAAGATTTATTCATATAAAATAGTTTCAAAAACTTAAAATATTATTTGGACGGTAATTCGACTTATCAGTTGGGTCATTCTTCTTAAAACATGGTATAACATCAGCCGTTTTTAGAAATGACGGAAATTTACCATCATTGATACTATTATTGATGCAATCTGTAAGACTGTCCCTAAAGTGAACAATATAAGATTTTAACATAAAAGTTGGTATATCACCACTAGTCTTTTTCTTATTATTTATAGACCCTATATATTTTATAATATCATCATGTGTGATTTGTCGGAGATGATGTTAACATTTTTATTTAAAGTGATATGTTTGTTAGAGTTACCTGATTTATCTGAAAGGAAAGGTTTAGTTAACTTCCAGAGAGATGTATCTGAAATCGAGAGTGTTAATTTGCCCAAATTAAATTTTCTATAGTTTACAATTTAATTTGACTAACCAATTTCTTTGTTTTTTGTACTTTAGCGCAGAAATATCAGATTTATCACTAAAGAATTTTTCATATAATGTAGAGCAGAGCATAATTTTCTTTAGTTATAAAAGATTTATTATTACCTCTAAGTAATTTAGATTTAAAAGGAGCATATAAATTTAGAATTTTGCTAAATATTTCATTAAAAGTATCTATAACATAACAAAAATTTTAGTTTTGATGGAGTGTTGTTGCAAAATTTTTATTTGAAAAACTTTTAAACGATCTATATATTAGTTTTTTAGGTGGTAAACAAAATGTAGATCTAAGCATTGTGTATATTAGTTGGTGCTGATCACTCACACCCGAACAAAAGGTATTCGAATGTTGAAAGTACAACTTTTTATTAAAAGGTATTCGAATTTTGAAAGCACAACTTTTTATTAAAAGGTATTCGAATGTTGAAAGCACAATTTTTTATTAGTGAATTTAAGATCTATACATGAAGATTAATTAACCGATTTAAATGCATTGATAAAGTTGAAGGAATTCCTTCATTATTTTATCCAAAGTTTGCATATTAAAATCACCAATTAGAATATAATCTATATATGATTGTAAATAAAAGTCAAGCACTCATTTTAGGTGATTGAAGAAATAGGCACAATTCTGATTTGAGGGTTTATAAACAGCAATCACTAGCCATTTCTGCATTCTTAGTTAAATTTCAAAAGTGATAATTTGAATGTCATTAGAAAAATCCTTTTTTTTTTTTGTTAATCTTTTAGAAGGAATATTATCATTGATGTACACAAGAATGCCTCCGCTATAATGAGAAATATCCAGGCAATAGGGGGTTTTATAACCTGAATATAAGATCTGAATAGATGGAAACGAGTCACTTAATTTAGTTTCACCAATGATAAGAATATCAACAGTTTTATTTATAAAGGTAGTAATATCTAAAAATTTATTACGGATTGAATTTATATTTATAAATGCTTGACTGACATTTTTTAGATATTTGGCCCTTAATTTATCCAAATCACAATTTAGACTAAGATCTTCATTAATACTTGGTAGGTAAGTTTGATAATCTAAAATCACATGGGAATTTCTATCAAATAGACTTCAGATATGCAATAAAGTTCATGGCTAATCTATCAGATCCTCGCGTATTTAGGTGGAGACCATGTAGCCCCAGGTGTTCCTTAGACAAATTTGAGTTATCAATAATATCATAATTACTCAGTTTTAATTTATTGGTTAAACGTATTGTGGTAAGTTAAGCTTTTGGATTATCGAATTAACAAACTGGTGTAGATAAGAATATTGAACAAATTGGGTTCAATTTCACAATAAAGGAAACAAGATCTTTTAGTTTTTCCATAGCAGTTTAAGACGAATTGTTTATACAAATATTCGTTCCAATATGCAGGATAATTTTAACAGGTTCTTTTTTTAAGAAAGGAATTAGATTAGAATGCATGTCTTCTATGGTAGCACCACAGAAGACTCTAACTTTAACTTTTCCTAACTTATGCTTTTTTTTTTGTTTATTCCCATTAAGAGTCTCCACATATTAAGGTTGTTCCTGCTGGCCATTTATAATCGTCAGTTTGGTAATCGTAAAGATAATCTTTATCAGCATTGCTTACTTGTTTTTTATTGTTATTGTAAGGAAAAACTTTAACAACATTGCTTACTTGTTTTTCATGAATTTTTTTATTTTTTTCTATTATCAAATTTATTTAATTAAAATTAAAAATGTAAATGAATGTAACCTTGTTACTGATTGTAACCAATTTGAGATGTAACATAACTTATAAAAATATTATAGTGAACTGTTACCAAGGTTGTTATAACGGACTGTTGGTTTTTTTCAATCAAGTCTTAATCTAAACTCCTTTGATTTAGAAACTATTTAGTGAAATTATTCAGAACAAAAGTTAATATCATTACTTACATTTGGGGTTCTGATGCCACCTTGGCTCCAAAACACAACTTCACAAGTATTCACTTTGCCAGTCCTCTCATCAAATGAATGACACATGTTAAAGGGAGGAGAATACAAATGAAGTGAAACAGCTTGTTGAGTATGACTTTTATTTTCAATACGATGTAATCCAATGGTGTCTATAACAAAAAAAATGTTTTAATCAAAAGACATTTGTAAAAAATTATTAGTTTTATGAAAGCAACATAAAAATTTTCAAAGCTGTCAAGACAAAAATAAATTTTTTTTAACTAATTTCACCCCTACTAAACTTGGCTTTCATTCTACTCTTTCAGTGAAAGTAATCATTCACTTATTCTACAAGACTTTTAATACCACTTATTATTTTGTTTCAAAATAAAGAAAAGAAATTTCTTTAAAACACTGCATCAAAAAATATGCACATATACATGAACTTGTTTTAATAGTGCAGTGAAAACACAATTTGTGTTATGTAAAAAGAATGTGTTATTTATTTATTTATGCTCCTTGAGATTCAACGCCATGTTGAATCTATTATGAGCCCATTCTAATTACAATTTTGAAATATTCATAGAGATCAGAGTTTCATAATATCCATGTTTATAAAGCTTGCACTTGAAGATTTTCACACTATTGGCGGAAATTATTTCTTTTGGTAGTTTATTCCACCATTTTGCAACTCTGTCAGAAAATTTTCCCTTGATCTGTTTATTTTAATTATCTCAATATCTACGCATGCTTTATGTCCTCTAATGTTTGCAGCTGGGTCATTTGCTGAAATAGAAATTGCTGTTTTTGGTTGTTGATATCAAAACACTTAGTCCAAATTATGAAAAATCTTATAATATTGAATTAAATCATATCTTATTCTCCTGGTTTTTAAGGAAGTCAGTTGGAGTTTTTTAAACCTTTCTATATAGGGTAGGTGCCTTAATTCTGGAATCAATTTAGTTGCTCATTGTTGAACACTTTCTAATTTATGTATATCATTTTTATTATAAGGGTTCCATATTGGTGATATGAACCCTTATAATAAAAACATAATGAAGTGATAAAAACATAATGAGATAAAAACATAATGAAGATTTTGTACTGCACTTACAAAAGTGCAGTATAAAATCTTTATTATGTTTTTGTCTTTGTAAGTAAATGATTTGGTTAAATGTTAAATGTAAAGAAAATAAATATTTTTGAAATTGTCAACAAAATAAATATTCCATAATTTTTCTACATAAAAATATTTTACCTTGTTTTGTGCTCAAAATTTCTATTAAACTAGTTTTGTTGTACTTTAGTAAATTAGGATAGTTTGAAAAAGCTAATAATCTTACAAATATAAAAAGAAAAAAAAAATTTATGACAATATAAAGGTTATTATACTTACATGTCCTGCATTTCTTATTTATAACAAGTGAAGTGTAAATTAATTTAATTAAATGTTTGCACAAAATTTCAAACGCCAAATATTCACACTTTTTTTTTTTATTCAAATGACATAACATTTTTATTTTTACATTAATTTAAAAAAATAGATGAAAATCTGTATTTTTGATTTCTCACATAAATATATCTCTGTAACTAGTATTCTACTGCCCTATTTGAATATTGCTTTATTTAATACAAATTTCTTTTTCCAGAAATCAGTAATTGATTAATTTAAAAATCTGAATTAGGTCAGCAAGGTACTAATATATTCAGTTAACTTTAATTTATTAAACCTAGACTTTATCCCAGACACTTATGTATGAAGGATATTTATTACAGCAAATAAATTTTGATTTTTCATTCTTCCTTTTTTTCATTGTCTAAAAAACTGGCTTCATTTAAGTTGGTATTTTTAAAATTTATATAGCCACAATATATAAGTACATTACAGACCTAAAACTGCATTAGTATATTTATAACAACAATACCGTGAATGTATGCAACTTGATTTTTAGTATAATCTTTAACTCTGCGCGGCTTCATTTGAGCATGATCTATATTAGCAGTACAACCTACTTCATTTGGCCAGTCATAGAGCTTTTCTGTAAGAGTTCCATCCATTACTTTCATCCAGCAGTGTGAGTTTGCATGGTCATGAATACCACTAAAAAATATTTTAGCTGTGAATATCAAACTTTTTTATAAAAAAAAAAAAAAAAGAAAGGTTTTTAGATATGAAAACAAAAAATGAAACTGAATCACTAATAATAAAATTTTAACCTGAGCTTGTAACACTTTAACAAACCCACTTTAAAAAAAGAAACCTTTTATGAAAAGGACATTATGATAATCAAGCTAAGCATGGTATTGAGATTTACTTTAAATATTTACTTTTTAATTGTAACTGTTTACTTTTAGTTTATAGCTATCTACTTTTAAATTGCTTTTATACCCTAAAAATGGAAAACCTAAATAAATTTAAAAAAACATTTGAATAAATATTAATATGATTTTTTTTTTGGCAATGAATTTTCATAATTAATGCTTACTTGTTTTATGTTTTTTTTTTTTTTTAATGATGCTCTTAGTCACTACTTTTACGTGTTTTTCATACTGATTATGACTAAAAATACTTTATTTTACTTTATAAGTATTTTGAAGACTTTACTAGCTATAATAATGATATAAACCATTATTTTAAATAGGACTGAAAAACTTGATGTTATTAATTTGATTTTAAATACATTATTGTACTATATATTATGTTAATTATGTTCTTAAGATAATAATAATAACTATACTAATTACAAAATAATTGTGTTATGTTATATCAGTTTGTTATAACTATGTTAGTAGCAATTAGTATTTTTAAAAATATAATTGATGTTAATAATATAATAACACAGGATTTTAATTTTACTTTTAAATTTTTTTTTTTTTTTGTAAGCCACCTGAGTTTGAATTTTTATCTCAACCAACTCCATTAACCTTTAGAGAGCACTTTTTATTTGCTCATAAAAAACTAAGCACTTGAATAAAAATTAAAACTCAATTAAAAATGAATAATAGATTTATGTATAATAACAACTTGCATACTGATACACCCTGATACTTAACACCCTGATCTTTTAATATGGGCAAATAAATACACAAGTTAATATGGGCAAATAAATACACAAATATTATTTAAATTATTTAATGATTATTTTGAAAAAATTTTTAAGCAATTAACATTTAAAATATATATCAGGTCTTGTGATGAAAAAAAAAATACTTAACACGTTTGTGTAATGAAGCATAATTAAAATTTTTTAGCGTAACATAAATAGTGTAGCATACTGTTAAAATGCTTTTTGCATATACAAAATGTTTAATGCCTAACCCTTTATCACAAGGCCTGATATGCATACAGATGCTTATTTTTTTGTCTACCTTTATAGCATACAGCTTATTCAAAAAAAGAATAAAACAATAAAGAATAATGAAAGAAAAGATTGCTGCACCAGCCGAAATTCTCAGTTGATGTAGAGGCACACTTTTGCAGCACTTGGCTATAGGGCATTTCCATTTCTGTGCGTGATTTTTATTTTTCTTTGTTTTAGCAATTAAAAGCTGGGACTTTATGCAATATGCATACTATTTTGATTTTCTTAAAGAACAATTATAACAAAAATATTTTTATCATATTTTAGGCTATCTGAATAAATTGAATATACACATTTTTACAATTTTATTTTTTTGAGTAATAATATCACTACATTTTGAAAAATATACATTAACTTTCAAAACACCATACTCTAGCTAGAAATAATTGATGACTGCAGTTTCTCATTGAAAATATATTAAATATGAGTCATAGAAGTATTTCACATGAAATACTCACAAGCAATTTATTTTCATAAAAATAACTACATGAAATTGACAAATTCGCAACATCCGTGCATGACTTCCGTGAGTGATCATTCATAAACTACATTTAAACGATTGCTGTGACTCTATGATTCATAGTGCAATCCTGTAACTTTCTGGAAATCTTTACTAATGTTTAAAATATTAATTAAAAAAAAAAGTATACCGGTGAAACTTATATTTTCAGAGGAATTAAAGTTTATTTATCTAGTAACTAAAATAGAAGTTTTTCTGTTCCGTGCGTGATTCCATTTCAAACTTTATTTATTCTTTGTTAACATTACTAATGCTTACTATTTTTTGTTTACAAAATATTTGTATTGATTAGAATTAAATGAGAGTAAATTGGAGATCGCTAGTTTTATTTTTATGAAAATAAAAGTAAAAACATATACGAGTTTCCGTGCGTGATTTTTTGGAAATGCCCTATATGATAGATGCTGTATGTATTAAGAATCTCATGTTATTTCAGAGCAAGAAGTTAAGGTTACTCTAGTCGTTCACATAGCTTTTCAAGATCAAGAAAAAAAACAGTTCACACTTGGACTATAAATCCATAGACAGATTTATGCTTAAAATTTTCTCAAAAAATATCGTACTTCCAAGTAAACTTTTGCAGTAGCCTGAAAAATGAGGGTCAAAGTATCTAAATTTAACATGATTCAGATTTAAAAATTATTATTAATTTCTAATTTAAAATACTCATTATTTGTTAAGCTGTTTCAAAAGATTTTTTTAACACTTTTGAAAAAGATTGTATGAGCTTTACTCAAACCAAACAGCATAATATGATAACTTACAGACATTTTCTGTTTAAAGCCTGTGTAAATAAGGCCTGAGACCAAAATTTATAACATAACTGATTTTAGTTCTACTCATAATAAAAGATTTAATGGTTTCAGTATCAGGAACCATATTCTAAAATAGTAGACTGTTCCCATCACACAAGTTCAGCAAGAAATTTTAATTTACTAAAAAAAATAATGGATCATTTAACCAGTAAAATCTTTGTAATCTAATCAGTAAAAAAAATTTACAATCAGTAAAAAAAATTGGAATGTATGACCCAATTATAGCTATTTATAAACAGAGAAAAATCTTATAAATTATATTAATAATTAGTAGTGGTTTCACTCATGCATTTTTAAAACACTTTTTTTATACATAATATGAATGTTGTTTTAGTTGGTTCATGCATATGTAAAGGACCAGAATCAAACTCAGCAAAATTTTGGGCAATTATTAAATTTTTGAGTAATTATTAAATTCTAGTCTATAAGAACAACCACAAAAGAATAATTTTGTTAAAACATTTTATTTTTCTTCTTTAAACAATAGTAACCTAAAAAATGAAAAATATTTATTATAAAACATTTTAAAACATTAAAATAAAAACAAAACAAAATTAAAATCACTCCCTGATTTCACTGATTTGGAGCCGACCCTGTAATATTATTACAACTAATATAAATTAAAATATACAACTTTATTATTTAAATTTTAATATTATTACAATTACTATAAATTAAAATATATAACCTTATTATATAGACATATTACAAATTAATAATAATAAATAAAAATAGTAATAAAATTAATGAGCTTGTTAACTTGAAAGTTTTTTGTTTTTTTGTTAATTGAAAAATTACAAACATTTAGTTAAATAAACCTTATTTAAACAAACTTTTTTTTTAATTAATAGAACTGTTTTTAATTTAAAATTGATTGAAATTAAAAACTATAAATAATTTTGCCTACTAAATTAAAATGCAATTTAATATATATTTTTAAATTATCATATATAAATTTAAAATGACTCTAACTCATGATTTTACCTTATGCTTTACCCCAAACTACTTTTATCTTAAAAAGTTAAAAAGAAAAAGAAGGCAAATTTTGCGATAGTAATTTGAAGACTTTAAAGCATCACTTTTATTATCAAATTTTCTTAGATAACAACTTTTCAGCTAACAAGATCAAACAAATCCAAGGTTACTCTTACATAAAATATAAAATATTTTTGAAAGCTTGTTACTTTTACATCTTTTCTACCACTGAACAAAATTGTGCATACCTTCCATGACCTTCTCCCCAGCAAAGCAAAATCAAATTAAACTTTCCATTTCCAGAATCAACTAAATTTCTTGTATATCTTAAAGTAAAAAATAATGTCATGAGTAATTTTTTAACAACCAAGATAAATAATAAATACCTAAATAACTAATAAACTATTTAATAATAAAATATTTAACACTATATAACATTAAATATTTTTTTATTTATAATAAAAGAAAATGTAATATAAAATTTAAAAGGTTTATATAATATGTAACTAAATATGTTTATGCTATTTATAGCATAACATAATTTTAATAAATTATAAAAATCTCAAAAATAAAAAGAACAATTTTGAGTTACGCATGGATGTTAAGAATTTACTAAAATTTGTTCTTTCAAGAAACAACTAAACAGTAGATTTCAACATTACATGATATCAATGGAATTTTGAAATAGAGCAATTATGAACTTTAACAATTTGATTAAATTAGAAATTGTTGTCAATAATTATTAGAGATAATTGATGCAGAGTTAAATAATTTTAATACTGCATAGAAATTATGTTATTTTTATGCAACTGCCTAAAACTTTGCAAAGAGGTATATATAAGGGTAATGGATATTATTGCATTTGTATTTCATGGTTGCATCACCATCATCATAATTATGATAACAACAATCAACCGATAATAATGTATTGGTTAAACATACATCCATCTTGTCATCATCCCCTATTTGTTTTTCAGGGAATACGAATAATATATATACAAAATAAAAAATTTTCGTTTTCATTTTACTTTTTTAATTGCTTTTACAATACTTTCTAGCATCTGTCTAGGACCTATATTATAGGTAAAAGTTTAGCTATTTTCAGTATATAACCTAACTTTGATAAAGTTAATTAGATATTTAACATTTTCAACGTTGTATAAAATGTACTATAAATAGTAAAAAAAAAATTGTTTTGTGATGTGCATAATAATTAACTTTGCTTTATATATTTATTATTTAAAAATTTTTACCAAATAAATATATTGTTGAGTCTTATTAACTAACTAAATTATTTTTGACTTGTCAAGCAACTGGATTTCATTAATAATACTATGGAAAATGTGGTTATGGATATAATAATATTGATATACTAAGTCACATTTTTCATTGTCATACATACTAACATACTAGACGCATGTAAATATCATAATTTCTATACAGAAATTATACGGTTATTCATTTATACAAATGAAAATGAATTAAGAAAAACAAAGTCAAAAAAGATTTAAGCATAATGATAAATAAAGTTTTCAAGCAAAATAAGTAATAGAACTCAAAATAAAAACAACATGCTAAGCAATAGTATTCTAAGATAAATAACAGTGTTCAAAATAAATGTAATGTAATAGAATTTAAAACAATATGCAATAATAAAAAACATGCAATAATAATATCATTACTATCATAATAGTATTCAAAAAATAACAATATGTTAAAAATTTTAAATTTTTAAAATTTATATAAACTGAATGACATTATTGAATCATTTTTAACATAATGAGCATTTTTTTTTCAATTTAAATTATTAATTGAGAACTCAGCTACAAAGTTACTTGGCCAATAAAAAGTTGTTAATTATAATAAAAGTTTTATTTACAGTAAGTTTTATTTACAGTAAAAAACTTAAAAAAAAATAAAAATAAAAATAATAATCTTAAAGTTCTCAAATAAAAAGTTTTTTCTCAAGAACTTTAAGAAATATGACAAGTTTTGTTTTTGTGAAGGTTTTACAGATTTTACTATTATAATTTGTATAACTTCCTAAACTAAAGAAGATTAACTGATTTTATTTGGTAGATTAAATAGTTTTTATAAATAAAACAATAAAAAAGAAGAGTTTATAATAAACAATAGTTAACGCTTAAAAAAAAATCCTTAAAAATAGTTTAAAACTAAAACATTAAATTATACTTTACCTGTAGTCATCAAAATGAGCATACTTTTTCCACTCTGATAAATTTGATTGATAGGTCTCCATTGCGTCCTGAACTTCATCAACATTGACCTTTTCATGGTCAAACAATTCATTTAATTTTTCAATTAACTTTGTAAGAGTAAAACTGTTGTCTGGTTCATTCATTTTTTAATTTTTTTCTTTTTTCCTATTTCAAAATTAATTTTTATTTTTAAAAATTAGCATGCAATATTATTATTATTATTTTTATTATTATTATTATTATTATTATTATTATTATTATTATTATTATTATTATTATTATTATTATTATTATTATTATTATTATTATTATTTGTCCACAAACACACACACTAAGACATAATTTCTCTTTACACATGTTAATTTCTAAAAACTCTTTTCTAAGTTTAATAACCATACATACTTTGCACTCACAAACAGCACACACATGTAGATATGTTTATAAAGATTAAAGTTTTAAAATATATACATTCTAGTTTTAGCATTTAAGATGACACATTTTTAATTTTTAAAATATTAGTAAATGAACTTGATCAAATATTAATTGATATATTTCTGAGATTTTCCGAAATCCCATGAAGGATAAATTTTAAATAAATATTAATAATAGATTACTACAGGTTATTGCTTACTTTGAAAAAAAATTGTTCTATTATATATTATATATACTTTATATTGTATACGTATGTATAATTGTTACATTAAAAAATAATAAATTTATCGTGAACCCTTTTTAATAATATTACACACGCTTATACGCAAATATACACGCTTAGCGATAACAACAGTTGATAACGTGAACTTACCAACGTAAACAATTCTCGCAATAATTAAGAAAGAAATTGAAACTTACGAATGAATGAAACTTAAAGTGCGAGACAGCAACAAAAAGTGAACGCTTTCATAAGTTTTACTCATTTATTAGCTAGCTCCATCTGTTTTACGATTGATAACCAGCATTTCAACTATGTCATTAAGGTTAATTTTTTTTTTTTAACAAACATTAAATTAAGAGTAATGCTATTTACATCAAGACATATCCTAACGCTACACTTTTTTAAAGTTTTTTATGTCTTTTTTATTAACAATAATGTTACTTTTAATCTCAATATACAACAAACAAACCGTTTTAGTTTAATAAATTAAAAAATACTTCATAAAGCCACATTTTCCAAATAAATAAAATTGTGTGTTAACCTAACTTACATTTTGCCACTGAAGTAATACAATTTAGATCGAATAGTTAAATATATACGTTCACAACTTTACGTATGTATAATTCATAAGAGTGACGTCAAAATAGGTCAATAAAAAATAAAATACGTTGTTACACTTTCAAATTTGCTCACGAAAAGTCGTATCCTGCATTCCAATGACGTAATGCTAATAGTTGATGAACTTGTACTAGGCAATGTCAATGTAAATGTCAAAATAATTGTTTAGGAAATATGATTTCTCAAATAAATATTTATTATACAAAATTATTAAGCTATCATAAGCTCCACTCGTACCAAAGTTAAATTTTTTTAAACTTTTTTTAACATAGACGAAACAAAATAGAAGAGGCAACATCAGTGCCGTGGCTACAAGTTCCGAGGTCCCCCCCTCCCCACAAAAAAAAAATTTTCTATAAGGACCCCAAAACCTTAAAACATTTTCCATAAGGGATTACTGAAAAAAAAAGGCCCCTAACAGTTGCAAAAGTGCCCCTAAATTCGCCCTAAAAAACCCCTATAAAAAACCTCCCCACCAATTGGGGTGTGGGGGAGCCTAGCCGCTACTCTGGGCAACATAGAAGAGGCAAAATCACACATGTTAATAGAAATATTTAAAACTAAAGTACTCTAACGTTTATAATTGCTCAAAAACAACACATCGTTTTTAAACACTACATCATAGGAATGTTTAAAAACGTCTGTTGCAATTTTTAACTTGATTTATAACAAAAAGCGGCCTAAATCTCTAGCCAAAAAAAATGCTCACGTCAGTTTTATAGAACTTTAGAGATTACATTAAGTTTAAACTAAGTTTAAATTAAATGACAAGTTTGCAAGAAATGTGGCTTTTTAAATACAGGTATTTTTTTGTGCCTGACTTTATTCATGTTTAGAAATTTGAAATTAATGAATGAGGGGAAGTTCTTTTTTATTATCATATTTTGTACATCCTCCCTTATTACGATATTCATACGCAACAGCCTGAAAGTAATGCTATATATGCCATATTATTGAGCTATTTAAACTTTTTTTATCAACTCTATGTTTATTTATGTTTATTGTACATATTGCATAAGTTGAATATATTACATAAATTGTATACGTTGAAAACATTTTAAAATAAAATGGTAATTTATTTAATATTTTAAATAATGAGTTCATAAAAACATAGCTTAGCGTTGTAGGCACATGTTCGAAATAAATAATAGTATTAATAAAAATATTATAGTATTTATCGCTACATATAGCAAATAAAACAAAAACATTTTTACTAATTGTATAATTGTGTGTTATATATATATACATATATATATATATATATATATATATATATATATATATATATATATATATATATATATATATATATATATATATATGTATTTTTTTTTTTTTTCCACACACACACACCCATAAACACACCCACACACATTTTGTTTATATATATATTAGTAAATATATATATTTAAATAGCTTACTGTTTCAATAGTTTATTTAATTGACAACTTAGACAATGGATAGATTAGATAAATTGTACATTTAAGACACTTAAATCAGATTTAAATTGTTACCAGGGATCTAATCCGATTAAAAAGTAATAAAAATGGTATATACGACTTAACACCCACGCGCACGTATATTGTTTGTGTGAATGCACAAACAGTACGTGCACTGAAAACTCAGTCAGATCCGGAAAATTAGCTGAATACTAAACGAAGAAATAATTAGATTTCCGTTATAAATATTTAGGAAATAATTAAAATCTAATTTAAAAATGAAGTGTAAAATCCTAGAAGCATGCAACAACAGTGAAACAAAAAAAACCTTGGACGTGCTGCCCAAAAACGTTGTAGACCAGTGGTAGACTTTAGTCAGCTCATATCCGTTCTCGCAAAGTTAAAAGTATATAGCTTTACAGGACTAGCTGTGGGTAATACTTCAGTTTTACCACAAATCACTCCCTCCCTATCCTAAATCTTTTTTTTTTTAATGATTTAGTGAATTTTCTTGAAGTATTTTGTTTCGCCATTTGATAAACATTTTACATATATATAACTTTCATACTTATAAATATAAATATATTATAATGTATACATTTATAAATAACAAAATAAGTTTAAAATAATGACAGGAGCAAAGAAAGACTGCAGTCTAATCATTTAGTCCCTTTCGTATGCGATGTTCATTTTGCGATAAAACATAAATACTAAGTTTTGAAAGGGTTCAAAACTTAGTGTTTAATAACTATAGTATTTATTTAAGGTTTAATTCATAAATATTAGTCCTATTTCCAAAAGATTTAGCTTGAGCATATCTGTTTACATTGCGTATTATTCGACAGGCTTGCTATTGTTTTATGCGTATTTTCTTTCCGCAAAAAAAATGTGCAATAGTTGTTACAAATATATAATAAAAATGTAATAAATATATAGTAAAATAAACTGTTGTAGATTTAACAAATAATAAATAATATATATATATATATATATATATATATATATATATATATATATATATATATATATATATATATATATATATATATATATATATATATATATGTGTGTGTGTAATCAAATTTTGTTTAAAAGCAGAGTTGAGCTTTTAATAAAAAATTACCAGTAAATCGATAAAATTGTATTACCGGTTTAATTGTAAAACTGTATCGGTAAATTTTGGTAAATATTGATTTTTTAAATGCTCAAAAATCCTTTTAAACATTTTTTTCCTACACAATAATGTAAACAAACGTAAATGAGCGAAATAAATGCAGACATACATAAACAGGTCATGTAATACACTTTTACATATTACCAATATTAAATCAACAGTCTAGGTTTTTTTCAACAAATCCAGATGGCTTGAAATTTATTTAAGAAGTGCGTGACTCAGAAATTTTTGACCAAAAGCCACTTTAACTTGAAGTTGAACTCGAGAAAGCAATAGCATAAAGTCGTGTTCTAAAAATAGATTTTTTTCAGTACGCAACGCATTTCAGGGAATAACATTGCACATAAACAATAGATTTTCATAAAAAAACGTAAGTGATTATGGGATTGATATTCGGACAAATAAACAATTTGACGTCACCAAAACGGTACGCAACACAGCAAACTTTTGCCCACGGAAAAAAAATATTCGCAGAGACTTTTTTAAATGTCCGTTAAGCAATTTGGATATTTATGAGACAACCATTTTGGTAACGTGATACTTCTATTTACATCAAAAATCAATCCAGACATCAAACAACTAATTTCAGACGGTCAAGTTCAACACTCTTAATAATTATATTCCTTTGATACAAATGTTTATAACAGTTATTAGTCACCTATATTTTCGTAGAAATAAGTATTTTTTGCCCACAAAACTGTTTTTTTAGCTTTTTTTTGCCCGTTTTTTAAAAAGTCTGGCCACCCCTGCTATACAGCATTTAACCTAAAGCAACGACACAAATCAAACGACTAATTCAAAGCCATTTCTTAAGAAATGCTGTTCTAATCAGACACCAGATAAAAAACTTGAACATTTGGTTAAATGAACTAAAGACTATCCCTTTAACAAGCGTCGAGTCTGAGCCATCCTTTTCTGCTGCTGGATTATTTATGACGAAAATTCGATTCAGAAATGACAATTCAATTAATAAACTTATTTTTCTTAAAGCTTTTTATCAAAGTATAAATCTCCAAACTTATTGTGTTTTCTTATTACTGCATTTAAAGAGCTATTTCCATTCTATTGAAGTTCTATGAAATTACAATAAAATGGAGACAAGTGCAAATAAAGTTTATCTATATCATCTTTAAAAGATTTAATTTTACAATAAATAATCTGAAATAAATATTAAAAATAAAAGTACTCGGTGTAGTTAAGACACTATTAAAATATTATAGCGTCTGTATGATATTTTGTTGACGACGACATATTTTGGTTAAATGGTCAGGTCTGTGAATTATGA